AACATGTAAAGCTCATGCATATAACATGTTAAGCTAACATGTATAACATGTTAACATGTATAACATGCTAAGCTAACATGTAAAGCTCATGCATATAACATTTTAAGCTAACGTGTATAACATGTTAACGTGTATAACATACTAAGCTAACATGTAAAGCTCACGCGTATAACATGTTAAGCTAACGTGTATAACATGTTAACGCGTATAACATGTTAAGCTAAAGTGTATAGCATGTTAACGCGTATAACATGTTAAGCTAAAGTGTATAGCACGGTAAGCTAACGTGTATAGCATGTTAAGCTAAAATGTAAAGCTCGTGTGTATAACATGTTAAGCTAACGTGTATAACATGTTAACGTGTATAACATGCTAAGCTAACATGTAAAGCTCACACGTATAACATGTTAAGCTAACGTGTATAGCCTGTTAAGCTAATGTGTATAATAATAATGTGTATGTATCGTCATCATTGTATGTTCCCATACAAAGACGAAATTGACTCTGCTTTTAACCCATCCACCACCAGGTGGTGCAGTGGGCAGCTATGGAAAGCGCCCGGGGAGCAAATGAGGATGAGGTGTCCTGCTCAGAGACACCACGAGGTGTGGAGTGACCAGGGATCAAGCCCAGGACCTTCGGGTCCCAAGTTGGCTGCCCTGCCCCTACACCATCTCGGCCCCATAATGTCACAAGAGCCAGTTTACAGAATATGTCTTATTTACCCAAGAGATATGGTAAAGACGTGTTTTATAAAGCATGCTAACTGCTACAATAAGAAGAACGTTTTTTTAGATTATCTATCGTAAAGAAAATTTTATTTTCCAATTCTCTATGCGGCCCGTTGATTGCTTTAAACGTCTCGACGTGGTCCTGTGGGGGAAAAAAAAGTTGCCCACCTTTGACCGTAAGCATAATTTTCTCACAGAATCTCAAATTACTAAACTGAAAGAAACAGTGTATTTTATTTTGAAGGTACAACCTAAAACTTACCAGACACACTGGTACAGATCCAAATGTTATGGACTTTAAAAACACACATTAGAATTGGAACAACTACGGTTTAAAAAAAGTTAGTGAGTGTTTTACCTGCAGTAAACCAGTGTTACTCTGTTTGGAGAATTTGTGGCAAAGCTGATCTAACCATTGCTCAACAACAAGAAGTGGTTTTCTTATAACATTAATCTACCCCAAGTTCAAACATTTTAGTAGGAATATGAGGATTAATCAGTTCAAACAGATCACAGACGTCTGCAGCAGTAAACCCTGATTCATGGATGCATCAGTCTGCACCCAGGCTCATATCTTCAGGCATCTGCTTCCAACTAAAGCAAATACATTAAAATATAAAGTTGCATTGGAGCGGGAAGAACAAGTCTCCTGTAGACTTTTCTTTCTGTGACTTTTTTTGCTGTGTTTTATAGTTTTATATTCTCAGTAGCAACACCCACGCTTTGTAGATCAACTAATATTCACTATAATGTGTAGATTAATAAAGTAAATCTGTGTATTATTTTAATATTATTATAGCTGACAGTTTTTATTTACAACAAGTAAATGTCAGTAAGTGGTTATGCTTTTCCCATTTGTAAGCAATTATTACAGCCCGTTTATGAAAAGTTAAGTTTTGTTGTTTAAGATGAAGAAAATGTTTCGTACCAAACACATTGTTAAACAGGTTTTTAAGTTTGCACTTATTTATATTAACTGCGAGTCAGGTTTCATGAAACTATACTGTAAAATTAAACGAGGCCTGTATTAAATGTTTTTATTACTGTTAATATTTGGATCGTGTCCTTGCTTTGTTCGTTTTGAACAGCACAGAGTTGTGATGAAGGCCTGGATCGTGTGGCATTAAATGTTTTTCCTGCTCAAGGATGGTGTCAGCTGGAGTTAACAGTTTGGCACTTTGTGACATTTTCTTTGTGTTTTTTAATCGCAGAGCATTCTTGCCGGGAAATGAGCCACTCTTTGTAACATGGTTCATGTGCAACAGTTTTGCAAAACTCATCATGTCACAAGGATCTAATGTAGCTGCTGCAGAACTGATGCTGAGCATTCAGCCCCAAAAGTTTGCTCAAAAGTTTTAAAACGTTTAGGAACTTGTTTTTAAATGATCGTCTCTATGATTCCTCACACTAGCTATGTTTACATGTGCAACACTTTTTGACCAGATTGAAATGTTTTTAGGTTAAATAATTCAAATGTATTGTTTACATGGGCACAATTTGTTCATGACGAGCGTTTACATGCAGCGGGTTTTGTTCTGAACAGCAGTACTGACATGCGCAGAGTGGTAAACTCTCCTTTAAAAAAAAAAGCACAGAAGAAGAAGTTCTACTTCCGTGATGAACGTAAACAAACCTGAGCACCCAAAATGGACCCGCAACATGTTTTAATGACGGTGGAGACGTTACTGCACTCCCTGACTGAGCTACAGGTAATACAGATCATTCTGAGCTCTTTCAAAGTTTCTAGTAGAAATGTTGTGTCGCTCACCGACCAGTTTTGCTTCCCTGACATGCTAATATTATTAGCATTAGCCAGGTGGAAATGGCAGCGTTGCACATGCGCAGTCAGGTCAGTTTTTCACGATCAGATAAAAACGAACAGATCAAGTGTTTACATACGCACCGATCGGGTTATGAATCGGCGTAAACCCCCCGTTTTGTTCTGATCACAAATTATTTCAGATCACGCTGAATAAACAAAAAATAACCCGAACAGGGTGTTTACATGACGCGTTATTATCCCGAACAGCCGTTTGATCCGGTTACTTATGTCCATTTAAACATACAGTGCCTTGTGAAAGTATTGGGCCCCCTTGAACTTTTCAACCTTTTGCCACATTTCAGGCTTCAAACATAAAAGATATAAAATTTTATTTTTTTGTGAAGAATCAACAACAAGTGGGACACAATCATGAAGTGGAATGAAATTTATTTGATGTGTCAAACTTTTTTAACAAATAAAAAACTGAAAAGTGGGGCGTGCAATATTATTCGGCCTCCTTGTGTTAATACTTTGTAGCGCCGCCTTTTGCTGCAGTTCCAGCTGCAAGTCTCTTGGGGTATGTTTCTATCAGTTTTGAACATGGAGACACTGAAATTCTTGCCCATTCTTCTTTGCAAAACAGCTGGAGCTCAGTGAGGTTGGATGGAGAGCGTTTGTGAACAGCAGTCTTCAGCTCTTTCCACAGATTCTTGATTGGATTCAGGTCTGGACTTTGACTTGGCCATTCCAACACCTGGATACGTTTATTTGTGAACCATTCCATTGTAGATTTGGCTTTATGTTTTGGATCATTGTCTTGTTGGAAGATAAATCTCCGTCCCACTCTCAGGTCTCTTGCAGACTCAAACTGGTTTTCTTCCAGAATGGTCCTGTATTTGGCCCCGTCCATCTTCCCATCAATTCTGACCATCTTCCCTGTCCCTGCTGACAGAAAGCAGGCCCAAACCATGATGCTGCCACCACCATGTTTGACAGTGGGACAGATGATTTACGCCGATTCATAATCCGAATGGTGTCCATGTAAACACTTAATCTGATTATTTTATTCTCATCGTGGAAAACTGACCTGACTGCGTATGTGTGATCCATGTCAACCTGACGTATTTCCGCCTGGCTAGATGCTAATATGTCCGGGAAGCAAAACTGGTCAGTGAGCGACAGCATTTCTACTAGAAACTTTGAAAGAGCTCAAGATGATCTGTGTTACCTGTAGCTCAGTCAGGGAGTGCAGTAACGTCTCCACCGTCATTAAAACCTGTCGCGGGTCCATTTTGGGCGCTCAGGTTTAGAACTTCTTCTTCTGTGTTTTTTTTTTTTTTTAAGGAGTTTGCCACTCTGTGTATGTCAGTACTTCTTTTCAGAATAAAAGCCCGCTGCATGTAAATGCTCATCGTGAACAGATTGTGCCCAAGTAAACGATACATCTGAATTATTTAATCTGAAAACATTTCAATCTGATCAAAGTATATTGCGCATGTAAACATGACTAATGAGAGTTTACTAGTTGAGACAAAGGTGTTATTCATAAACAACACCATCGAGGTAAATAAACCACCTCTCTGTATGCTCTTTGGCTTTTTAAAAATTTTATATTGTTGCACATACAAATGTTGCAAAGTTGCATCAGTTGCTCTCACCTACAGAATGTACTGTTCCTGAAATGCCTGAAGCATCAACTTCGTAGGGCCATTTTCATAACAATACTCCCGTCAACACACATTTAAATAATGGCTGCCTTTAGGCTAGTTTAGCAGGTTTCAAACAAACAATCATGAGCTGGCATTTTTGACCAATCAAAGAGGACTCGTCTCACCTAGAGGGCGGAGCTAAAACACCTCTGTTTCAGACAAAAAGTGACGGGATGAACTGCATGTGAGAAAAATACCTTCATAATGCATCAGCTCGTGTTTGTCTTGAGAATTTCAGGTGCTCGTTTTTAAATCTGTCCTGTTTGTTTTAGAAATAAAAGTCAAAGAGCCAAACTTCACGCTCAGAAGAACCTTCAGGGTGGAGAACACCGGACTGCTCCCCATCACCGTCAGCTCAGCAGAAATCAACGGACAAGCTTGTGAAGGATATGGTTTTAAAGTTCTCAACTGTCAAGAGTTTGCACTCAAGCCAAATGCTTCCAAAGACCTCCTCATACTGTAAGTGATCACACTGAGTGTTGGTTTCTGTCACAGCTGCTGCAGAGAGCTAAACATTTGTCAGAACGTTTCACTTTTATTTCTCATGGTTTTTCTAGTCAGATGAGACTTTTAACTCCTCATTTGCTTATTAAGAACGAGTGTAACGAGTATGATGGATGTCTTCTCTCTCCGGTGCTGACACAGCCGGATGGATTGCTTGTGATTGACTTGTCCTCCGTACATGCCTTGTTTGTGGTCTGCAGCTTTTAACTGTGGTTTGATTACTCAGCCGTCGTCGTTTTTCTACGTTAAAGGGCTTTTAATATTGATTTTTCCACGTGGCAAAATTATTCCCAGATTTATTCAGATATGAATTTTTGATGCTTTACGATCTGTAAATTAAATGGATTTTCAGTTTGATTGCAAGAAATGGACCCACAAATTATTATGAGGAAAAGGGGAAATATTTGTTGTAAATGTTTTTAAGAAAATGCATAAATTGAAAGATTGTGTGAAAATGTGTTCACCCCCAAAGGTTAGTAGTTAGTAGAGCCACCTTGGACAGCAGGAAGTCTCCTCAGTTTGTCTCCATGGACATTTTGTCCATTTTTCATGACCAAACAACTCCACCTACTTCAAGATGTAAAGATGCTGCTCGTGTACAGCAATTTTACAATCGAATTACAAATTCTCAGTTGAATTAAGAGCACCTTCTATTGAATTTCTTCAGCGTTGTGTTGATTCTGTGCAGGTCACAGTGGTCCATTTCTGTCCCGCTCCATCAGTTTGACAGAGAGTCCTTCTGACCCATTTTATTTAATGGCCTCTGTTAGATGTTCAGAGTTTAGGATATTCTTTATAACACAATCCTGATCTGTACTTCTCCACAAATGTATCTGAGCTGTGTGGAGAGTTCCTTGGTCTTCATGTTGTCTCCAGCTTGCTGGTAGCTCTCGCTGCTTAAGAGGATCAGAACAGGTTTATATTTACTGACGTCTCTGGACACTCAGAGTGCCCACTGGTGGATCTTATTGGACAAGTCGTGGTTTTTAAAGGTTGGGGCTTCAAAGCAATAGGATGTATGCACTTATTACTGTCGTGTTTTTCATTTTTAGAAATATTTTAAAAGATTTCCCCCTATTTAGCTCATTAATCTAGATTTTCTGTACCGTAATTTCTGGACTATAAGCCACTTCTTTTTCACACACTTTGAACCCCGTGACTTATACAGTTTAGCCTCGTCACACCCGGGCGCTCACATAGCTGCCCAATACTCATCTCTCTTGGGGTTGGGTTGTCGTGACTCAGTGAGACTACCTGTATAAATAAAATAAAAAAGTCTGATCAATGAAATTACGAAAAGGTCACAGTCGAACCAATGAAACAGGGAAGGCGGGAAATGTTTCCCCTCCTCCCTGTTCTCTCCTCCCCAAAGAGCCCCCAAAGAGGATTTATTAATATTATTTTTTTATTTAGTGGGCACAGCTCAATAGTCTGGAAATTACTATATATATATATATATATATATATATATATAATTAAATTAATAATAATAATTTAAATATTATGTTGAAGGCAACCAAATCAAATAGTACTGGTGGGGAAAGCTTCTGCACCAACGGATGCCTCTAATCAGAAGTTTGATTCAGCCCCAGCTTGATCATTTCCCCTCTCCCCCCATCAGAAACACCGCAGGGTGATTATAAGCAACAGATCTTATTCGTCTTATTTTGCTGTTTGTCGTCTCCTTTCAGGTTTACGCCCGACTTCACGTCATCTCGAGTGATCCGAGAGCTGAAGCTGATGACTCGCGGGGGCTCGGAGTTCGTGTTTGTCCTGAACGCCTCGCTGCCCTACCACATGTTGGCTGCGTGTGCAGAAACTCTGCCCAGACCCAGCTGGGAGCTGGAGCTGTACATCATCGTGTCTGTCGTGATGTGGTGAGTGCACCTCTGAGCATTAAAGCACATTTGATGGATCTCGGCGAGTTTTATAATTGTACACTTTTGTCTTTTGCAGCTCCATGTTTCTGCTGGTGATCGCCACAGCCTACCTGGAGGCTCAGAGCATTTGGGAGCCTTTTAAAAGACGGGTGTCTGTGGAGTCCAGCTCCAGTTTGGAGACTGGGAGGCCCTTTAACCTCAGGGATATTGTTCAGTATCCCAATGATTTAAAGTAAGTTTACCAGGAAAGATGTTTCTGTTGGCAAAGTCTTAATCTCATAAACAGATTTATTAAAAGGGTTTGGATCCACTGGTGAGTTCCCAGCAACATTTCAGAAAAACTCAAGCCTCCAGCTCGTTAGCTCTTCTCTGGATTATTGACCTGATTTTGAACTTTCCAATTTATTTCAGTGAGCGATTTTCATTTTTTGTTTGCTTATTATCAAAGAAACAGAAATCTTTTTGTGACCTTCAGTCCAATCAGCTGTTTGCAACTTATTATTTAATTATTGTTTAGTGTTATTTGAATATGAATTCAAAGCACAGCAAGAAAACAAGTATAGTCTCTACTTTACTTTATTTTAGCTCTCTACAAATTATGAGTAATTTCTAATATAGCCTTAAAGTGATCTAAACACTGATCTGTGTGCTTTCTCCTAGTTCTCAGTCTGTCACAGCCGAATGAGTTAATGTGGATTCATGCCTTCAAACTGCTGTGGAAAAATAAACTAAAATTAACAGAAAAATACAAAAAAAAGTAGAATTTCTGAAAAAATTAAATGTTAATGTTGAGTGCTGAAAGAATTAACTGAAGAAGCCTAAACTGAGTTAGATGAAACGAGCAGAACAGGATTAAAATGAGTAAACTGAAGTTAAAAATTTAAATTTCCTAAATCAAAGCTAAAAGTAGCCACATCATAAGTAGCAGGACAGTAGCTAAAAGCTGGTTGTAGTGTAAGAAGGCAAATGTGGAGCAAGTGTGCTTCAGCAGATTTTAAAATGAACATTTTGAAGGAATTTAATTTTTGTTGTGCTTTTTATTTCAACTAGGCCTGTCACGATAAACAATAAATCAATTAATTACATGATAAATTAAAATTATCTACCTCATTTAGTTCATTTATTTATTAAGGACTTTGTTTTTATTTATCAGCTATCGTTTCTTCGTGTCTCTCTTTCTACTCAAGACACTGGATGACAAAAAGCTCAAATCTGCTGCTCATCACTGACCCCTCCCTTTCTCTTTAAAATCCATTTTAACCGTCCAAAATTGTGTTTTTGGATCGTTAAAAGCAGCTAAGCTGAGAGGCTAAGCTACGAGCTAAGCTAACAGGCCATCCTTGGGGGAAAAAAACCTCTGTCTTGTCGAAGCTCCAAAATTCACAGTTGAAACTCGTGCCTTTGTGTAAAAAGTTGTTTTTCTCTGCAAAAAAAGCTGAGAACTTGTTTACTGATTTATTTTTTTTAATTAAAAGCTTTGTGCGAAAAATGCTATGCTAAAGAGCTGAAACCACACCGAGCGTCCGCCATTTTGAGAACCAAAGAGAGACCGCCCATGTCACGTCAAGGGGCCTCCCTCCCATTGTTCTTTAAAAGACGCGCTGCTCACTCCCTCACTATCCATCCTTGGGTTCAAACAGTCTTATACTGTCATCTGGTGGTCAAAAAAGGTACTACACTCAAAACAAATTAACCAACATTTCTTCTTAAATTTGACAATAATTACTAATTATTGTCAAATTTCAAACCGTATTATCGCTTATCGCAATGATTTCTGAGACAATCACCCAGCAAAATCTGTTATCATGACAGGCCTAATTTCAACTAATGTGAAATGTTTTTAAAAGCTACAAAACTCAAAAGTGACGGCACGTTTTATCAAGCTGAACATTTTGATGGTACGAGTAATTAAAAAAAGCACAAAATCTCCAGAAGTACTTTGAGTCTAAAACAATAAAAACTTCCAGAATAAACTCTAAATAGGAAATCGGTGTGTACGCTGACTCAGCAACCCTTCAATAATCCTCTGAATACAAAGAAGAGCAGAATTTGAAGATCACCTGCTACTGGGACTGCATGAATGGAATTGGGGATCAAAAGTAACTCGGACTGAGTTTCCACCTGCTCAGGTGTGGACAAGAAAGTTGGGAAACACCCAGAGAGTCCAGCTTTGGTCTGTTCTGCACTGAATTTACTTCTTTTTAAATCTGCTTCTTAAAAAAATGTCCTTTTATGTGTTTAGCTTTATGTGGGGCAGCTGAGTGGTTAGAGTGGTCGTCTTCCAATGGGAGAGTTGGGGGTTCAATTCCACCAGCTGAGGTGTCCCTGGGCAAGACACAGAACACCTCATTGCCTCTGATGTGTGTCCCATCGGTGTATGAATGAGAGACAGATTGTGTTGTAAAGAGCTTTGAGTACAAGATAGAAAGGTGCAACAGTCCATTGTGAGTTGTGCAAAGTTTCCTTCTGACTGTGACTACACAGAGTTTGGACTGAACCACTGCACTCATCTTTCACAGTCAGAGATCATTTGTATTTTTCATCTGTGTGGGGCAGAGCGAGAGCTCACTTCAAACTTTTCATTCAAGCTCTGTTTGCATCCTGGCTGCTGAAGCCTGGACAAGCTGATCTTTAATTCTCAGCTCCTCTGTAAGCTGACAAAGACCTTTGTAATATAACCTTTGTAAAGTAATGCAGTAAAAAACTGAAATATTCCAATTTAAAACGCTCAAGACTTTTGTCAGTCTTTAGTCCTGACGCTGTAATACAGTGAAGAATCTGAGTGAAGGCATGGAGTCAGATGTGACTGAAGAGGACAAACAGCCTGCACGTTGTAATTAACAAACTCGTCTGTCCCTGTTTAGGTTAAATAACTACAGCGAGGCCAACCAGACCTCCAGAGGATTATACGCATCCAGCAATGGAACAGCACGAGTTGGGAGCCGACAAGACAAGAGTCGGATCTTATCAGACTCGGACAGCCAAGATAAGAGGTCCAGGATCTCTTACAGCCGCCCACCTATACAAACGATTTCATCTCAGTCACCCAAAGGAAGTTCATCAGTGGGCCAAGATAGCCCTCCAGCTCCGTGCCAGCTAATCAGCCGAAAACCTCGAAACGTTAAACAGCCGGACCCCCAGAGTTTACCTGGGTCGTCCCTTCCACACAGAGACCCGTGTCCTGAGGACCCAGAATATGCCAGCCTGATAGGAGCCATGGACAACGACCTCGACCGTCCAGAGTCGCTCGGTGCTGAAGCGCTACAGGAGCGGAGTTCTAGGTCCATTCAAAACAAAGGTACCGTGTTCGTTTTTAACTGGAGACAGGAAGTGGGCTTTGCTGCAGCTGCAGCTTCTAACGTAGTGCTTTACTTTTGTTTGAAGTGTTGGAGAACAAAGGGAAGCAGCGTCCAAAAATGAAAGCGCTTAAAAAGAAGGAAGAAAAAGAGAAAAAATCCTCAGTAAAGACCCCAGGAGAGGACCCTAAAGACAACATGGCCGACAACGACGACAGCTCCTCCACCACCACAGAGACCTCCAATCCAGATGTGGAGACGAACCTCAAAGAGGTACGCTGAAATGGGACTGTTGGAGTCCAGCTGTGTCTTTCTTCACCTCTCTAACCATTTTCTTTACTTCAATTATGCCTCACATCTGACAGGAACCAGTGAAGAAGAAAGGGAGGACCGTCACATCTGGAAAGGAAAAAGAAGAAACTTTAAATTTTTCAAGCAAACCCAAAGAAAAGAGACGAGAAGCTTCAAAGAAAGAGAACCAAGCAGATAAAACCAGGTTTGCTTTTTACATGAAAAGTGCCAAAGAATCCTTTAATTAGTTTTTAATAAATGTTCTGTGTTGGTTCTCAGTTCGCTGGAGCTGCCGTACGTAACGCCACTGGAGAACAAACGAAGGAGCTTCACCTCCAAAGCTCTCCACCCCATCATCCCAAAGACGAGGCCCACGCAGAAACAGAGAAGTGAGTTTTCTACCGCTCGGTGTCTCCATGTTCACCTCCTGTTCAGATTTGCTCGTGTGACCCGTTTCGGTTTTGTCAGTAGATGGGAAGCTGGAGGACGGGCGCCCCTCCCTTTTAGCCAAACTGTCATCCAGCTCCTCCGTGCTGGAGCTGGGCCACAGCAGCAGCTCTGAAGGCGAGAAGGAGTTCGCTTCTCCTGAGTGGGATGTCCCACTTTCTAACAACGCCGTCCGTAAGTTGACCCTCGAGCCTGCTCTGTCCAGATGTTTACATCATGAGAACTCACCAGAGGTGCTTTTCTCCTGCACATCACTCACAGAGGCAGACAGTCTACAGCAGATCTCCCTCCAGACCATTAACGCAGATCCTTTCCTGAAGAGGTCGGCCACCGCTGGGACCTGCTCCCCTCCACCGACCTCCCCCAGCTTACTGTCCCGAGGCTCCTACAGCAGCGTGCTGAACAGTAACAGGTCTCCTGTTGTTTACACTTACTGTCTTTAGCCCCCGCAGTCCAACACGTCACAGACTTCATCTCATTAACATTTAAAGATGTTCAACTGGTGGCTTTTAACAAGAACCGTGTGCGGCTGTGGCTGAGAGCGGTCTTCCTCCAATGCAAGAGTCGGTGGTTCGATTCCACCAGCCGAAGTGTCCCTGGGCAAGACACTGAACCCCTCATTGCCTCCCATGTGTGTCCCGTCAGTGTATGAATGTGATAAAGCTCTGATTATTCTTTGTATAGTTCCAGTGGAGTGCTGTGTGAATGGATAAATGAGGCACAGATTGTTGTAAAGAGCTTTGAGTGTCTTGATAAGATGGAAAGGTGATATACAAGTACAGTCCATTTAACATTTATTAAGGGAAGACAAAATTAACAAAACAGCTGTTCTGAAAAATGCACAAAATAAAACCTCTTTGGAGTAAAAATCCACCTCTCCTGCTCAGCCCAGTTTCATTAATCGTTTCCTGTAACAGGCTCATGGTCAGCGACTGCATTACCTAATGATCCTTTAGAACACAGCAGCTTCTTCACAATCTGTTCAGTGTGGTTTACATGAGATCATTATAGTTTGCTAACATCAGATCTCTCCTCCTTTTATTAGTTCTGCATTTGGTGCTCTTAGTTAAATGAGTTCTCTTAGAATAAAAGGAATGATGTCAGGGAAGTGGCCCAACAGAAAAAAGGTCAATTTACATGTGGAGTGTTTGTGTTGTCAGCATCTTACTTGCAGCAGGTGGAAAACACGCAGAGATCTGCTTTTTAAAACGACTCACGGTTCAACATTTACAGGCAGTTTGTGAGAACTGTCGCTCACGTCATGTTTGTAAGAGACAGTTGTTTATTTTGCCGTGATTTTCTTAACTGAGTAACGTTCATGTTGAATTAAGCAAGAGTTTACACAGAGGCCGTTTCCTGCTGTCAGTCAGCCGAGTCTGTCGGGAGCTGATTTGTGTTTCTAACCAGGGGTTGTGCTTGTGGCAGGAAAAACTCTATAGACATCTTGAATTTTTAAACGTCTAAAGTTGCTGTTTAGGGTTTAGACTCACAAAACATCCACGGCTCATCCATCAAAAGAATCCAGTGAACTGTGTCTACACACCACAATGTTCAGTGGATTACAGTGAAAATATAAAACAGCTGTCTGCAGCGTACACAAACACTCATTTATAAAGCTGTACATGTAGTTGTTTTCACGCAGTTTGGTAGAACAGCTCATATTTCTGTCCTCACTTCAGAATGGTCAGAACTGTGTACGATGTCGTGGAGGACAAGTAACAACTTTTTCTCACAGTGATTGTAAAACTGTTTGTTTATTCAGCATGTTGCAGTTCTTTGACAAATGTTACAAGACTAAACTTAAATAGTTGGATCATTTTTTGCCCTCACCATGAAAAATAAACCAGTATTACTTTTGTTTTTCTTTACAGCGATCTAAATCAGAAAAAAGCCCCAGGACATAAACTGTCTTCCAGCACTCCACTCCCAGGCAAAAATGGAACCCCCACCTTTGCTGCTGTAGCTGCAGGTTACGACAAGAGCCCAGGTGAGGAGGATGCCGCAATGCATTTTGGGTTTAGTACAGTCCTTGCAGTGGTTAGTTTATTGGAATGCTTTATGTTCTCACCAGGCGGTTCTGGCTCGGGTAAAACCGAATGCCAAGGCAAGAATCTGACACACATGACCTCAGTGGAAAGTGACAGCTCGGACAGGTAGCGTGACATCAGGACTGTATTTTGTGCAGTCGGGGAAATCAATACACTAATCCTAATTCTACCTCTTTTCTCCCTCAAAGTTCTGGATTATGGAGTCCAGTAGACACGGTCACCAGTCCAAACTACCCGTCTGCCAACTCCTTCACAGCATTCGGGCCCAACAACTCCTTCAACCTGATGAGAGGTAATGTCACAGTGAGCAGAGGAATGTTGGGTAGCTGGTTCACCTCCTTGGCGCTGACATGTGTTTGTGTAGTTTTCAGTGGAATGAATCTCCCAAAGCCGTCGGAGCCACAGACCAGCTGGCCAGACTTCAGCAACGTCTCCTCGTCCATCTGGAACAACCCAACCAGCGGCGACGCTCTGCCGTCCTGGCCACGCAGCTCCGGCTCACCTACCATCCCAACTTCAGTAAGCTCCGCCCCCTGATCCGTTTCTCACATAGCAGCACAGTTTCTCACATCCCGCCTTTGTTTGTGTGCAGTCACTCCTGGAGAGCACGAGTAATCCGTGGTTGGCGCCCACACCCTTCAGCAGCTCCATCTGGTCAACCAGCACAGATTTAGCATTGCACCCTTTTCCACCACCAACCAGCTCGACTGCTCTGACTCATCTCAACAACCCCGCCCCGTCGTCGCCCGCTTCCACAGAGATGAGTCGTACCTTTAACCCCTGGAGCGCGTGGCGTCCCACACTGAGCCGCCGCAGCTCCGAGCCCTGGCCCAGCTCTTCTGACAAAGACAATTGAGCATTAAACATCAGCACTTAACAGAAGTACCCCGTCTGCTAAAAGATCAAAATCTTTTATCGTCAGAGTTTCTGAGCAGAACTCCACATTCAGTTCTGTGTGGCTTTTTATCCACGAGGGGCAGGAATGCCATCTTTTATTTGAATTTGTTTTAACAGGTGTCCCTGAATCCATTTACAACGTTTGGAACACGACACAAAGTCTCTAATTTTTCATTTTAAAGTTGGAACAAATGTGTTATTTTAAGCCACATGCCAGTTTGGTTCTTATTCGATCAAATTAAAACAATTCTTCTAAAAGTCCAGTTTAAATATGTTGGCAGCCCCTGCACCTGGTTGTGATCTAGCAGCAGTGATCTCTACAAAACTGGAACAAGATTTTTGTTTGTCCACCCCAAAAGACAAATAAAGCTTCAATTGTTCATGTTCCTTTTCTTAAAGTGGAATTTTTTGATCAAGTGATCAAGAACGTTCTTAAGTTTGAGGTTTGAACTGTTCACCAGTCGCCTTTTCGTCTGCAAATTTAATTAAAGGATTTAAGCAAAAAAGTATTTGTCCTTTTTTCATGTCTTACGTTAAACCAGCTTTCAGTTTTATTTTTTTATTTCGTAAGAAGGGAAGTATCTGATGTACGATAAACAACGTGATAGAAATAGGTCGAACATTAAACCTTCCAAAAATATTTGTTTACCTTCAACGACTCCAGCCAGCCTAATCTAGGTCAGTCTTGTGACTCAAGCTTCTACGTGCTATTTGGCTGATTCATGCGATTGCTTTGTTTACATCGAGTGTGGACCCACGTTTTAGAATTGCAATCAGGAAAACTACTAAAGTAAATCTTGTCAAACTGCACCATTAGATATATTTTGAGATAACCTTTGTTTGATTCTATACTTAGCATTGAGTAGCTTTAACATTTGACTTGTCTGCTGGCTTTAATTTGAGTTAATTTTAATGCAAGCAAAGGTTTTCAGGTATTTCAACAGCTGCTTCAGTGTGATTTAGGCACATGTCAAGGAGAAAAAGAATTGAGCGTGTCAAATGATGTCCACGTCTACTGTATCTGTTTACGTCACAAGTACATCACAGGCTATCTGGTTTCACTGATGGTTTATATTTGACCTTTATTCATATTTTTACCTTTATTCATATTTTTACCTTTATTCATAGAAGTATTTTGACAGACACAAGGTCTCCAGTTTTAGGTGAATATTAAAGTTACAAAAGTTGTTTTTCTGCCCAAACCTGGTAAGCCAACATCTAAAGAAGCAACATCTTTCAGATCCATCAGTTTAACATGCTTCCTACTGAAGGGAATGGTGAAGTTGATAGATCGACATACACTGCCTGGCCCACCAAAAAAATGGCCACCTGGATTTAACTAAGCAAGCGAGCCTTCTGTTGGATCATTACTGCATGGGTGATTATCTTTCAGCTGCAACAAGTTCTTTAACCCCAACTGGTGCAATGAGTTGCTTCTCATTTCTTAAACAACCATGTTGAAAGACACATCGCGTGGTCGTGTAAAAGATGTCGGTCTGTTTGAGAAGTGTCAAATCTAGTGATGGCGAGATGAAGCTTCATGAAGCACAGAGGCTTTCTTTCAAATAGCTCGACTCATGATCCGACACGCCATGGTGCTTCATTTGCTCTACTGCACCATCAACTGGACTATAAATGTAAAACCAGTAGATGGATTCTAACTTAACTGGATTGTGAAGCTTTTTTTATTTGCTTGTTTTTTTCATTCAACCTTTATTTAGACAGGTAAATCTCATTGAGCCTCGAGGACTCATTTACAAGAGAGACCTGATTTCAACAAAGAAAGATGACAACAATGGACAACAGCGACAACAATAGACCATTATAAAAAGGCATACAGATTTTTTTTTTTTTTTTTTACAAATAAGATGGCAAAAAAGTAACAAAAAACAGCTAGATTCTAAGGCGAATGTAGAAAACTAAAAACAGGAACATGTCTGCATTGGTCCCTGGAATCCAACATATTTTTAAAGCCTTTCGAGAGCTTCAGATCTTTTTGTAAGATATTCCAGGAAACAGGAGCGGAGTAGGAGAAGGCCCTTTTGCCAAGTTCAGTCCTCACTGAGGGAACACTGCAGGTAATAATGTCCTGAGAGCGCACGCTATAGCTGCACTCACGCAGAGACATGTAGAAGGAGATGTATGAAGGCAACAGACCAAAAGTGATTTAAAGATGAAAATGTACCAGTGAGAGAGTCTGCGTGAAGTTAATGATGAACAGTTAACCAGTGAATACAGGGTGCAGTGGTGGGTACGATAATCACAGCCAGTTATGAATCTTAGTGCACCATGATAGACAGCATCCAACATCTGCAGGGTTCTTGTAGGAGCGTTCATGCAAATAATGTCACCGTAATCAATGGAGGGAAGGAAAGTCACAGACACGAGGCATTTCCTAGCATTCAGAGTTGGACAGGATCTGTTTCTGAAAAAGAAACCCAGTTTAACTTTCAGTTTCTTTACCAAGTTTTCCACATGGAGCTTAAAAGAGAGATGCGAGTCGACCAAAATACCAAATAATTATAGGAATCAACAAACTCAATACGGACACCATTTGAGGATAAAATCGGAGGAAGAACTGATGGGACCGACTTCCTGTTTGAAAAAAGCATCCCTTTGGTTTTGTCGGCATTTAGGACAAGTTTGAAGCGGAACAAATCAGACTGGATGATCTTGAATGCAGATTTCAAAAGCTGGAAAGCCTTATCAACTGTTTTAGCTCGCCATTTAACAACTGTGTCATCAGCATAGAAATGTATGGATGCATCAGGGATGCGCTGACCTACATTACCTACAGTATGTAGATTGTAAAGAGGGTGGGTCCTAAGACTGAGCCTTGTGGTACACCATTGTTGACTGTTAAATAACTGAAGGAAGTACCATTATGTTGAACACATTGCCTCCGGTCTGAGAGATAGTTAGAGAACCAACCAATGGTGTGTTCTGAGAAACCAATTTCTGAGAGCTTATGACACAAGATGTTATGATCCACAGTGTCAAAAGCTTTAGACAGGTCTATGAAAAGTGCAGCACAATAATCCTTAGCATCCAATGCTTCAACAATGTCATTGAGAACCTTCAGTGAAGCAGTGGTTGTGCTGTGTTGTTTCCTGAAACCAGATTGATGTGGAGGTAAGATGTTAAATGAGTCCAGGTAATTTTTGATTTGAGAGTTTATCAGTTTTTCTAGAACCTTGGCTAAAATGCAGAGTTTATAGATTGGCCGATAGTTGTTCAGTGAGGTGGGGTCACCTCCCTTCAGCAAAGGAAGAACAAAGGCTGTTTTCCAAGTGCCTGGGATGGAGTTTTGGTTTATGGAGAGATTGAAGATGTGGGTCACAGGGACTGTGATGATATGAGCAGCCAGCCTTAAGAAATGAAGTGGAAGTTCATCTGGACCTGCAGATTTTTTAGGATTAAGATCTTTTAACAGTTTATTGACCTCACTGACTGAGAATGGAGAAAAAGAGAAAGTGTGATTAACTGAGGATTGACTTGTAGGAGGGATTTGATTTGTAGAAGTTTGATTATTAAGTGAAGTGGCTCATTTTCCATTAGTAACTGTGTCAAATAAAGAACTAGAAGCAACAAAATGTTTGCTGAAACAGTTCAGGATCTCGTGCTTATTTGACACAGGAACAGAGTTAATGAGAAGTTGTGATGGGAGGTCAGATGATTGGGGGGTGCCTGAGAGAGATTTGATGGTTTTCCAGAATCTGTTAGGGTCATTTAGATTTTTGGAGGTCTGAGATAAGAAATAGTTGCATTTTGCGGCTTTGATGTCAGTTGTGCATTTATTCCTCATCTGTTGAAAACTCAACCAATCAGTGTCTGAGTCAGATTTTCTCGCTGTGGCCCAAAGATGATCTCTCCTGTGCAGGAGGTCAAGCTAGCTCTGGAGTAAACCAGGGGCTGTCTCATCCCTTTATTCTGAACTGACGAAAAGGAGCATGTTTGTTCACAAAATAAATGAAACTATTATGAAAATAGTTCCAAGTGGAGTTCACGTCGTCAGTTAGTAGGATACGAAGGCAGTCAAAGTGAAACAGATCCCAGAGGAATGACTGTTCACAAAAACATTTCAGATCCCTTTTTTAATTAATCTGGGCTCATAAGGTGGAAGTTTAATATCTCTGAGAGCCGCTATTACACAATGATCATTCAAAATGTCAGTGAATACACCCTTACCAGGGAATTTGTGAGGCATATTAGTTAGAAACAGGTCTAAGATGGAAGATTTTTCAGCTTTAAGTTGAATAAAAGGAGACAAAAGGAAATAATGTTTTTGAGGACCTCAAATCTTGCAACACATCGTGGCGCAGAGGTTAGAGAGGTGGGCTTGTGATCCGAAGATCGCCGGTTCACACCCCGGCCCCGACAACATCGAAATTGTGGGTGGGGTAGGTGAAACACCCACACTTGCCCCCACCCTCATTTGCCCCACTCTGGGCCCATGAGCAAGGCCCTTAACCCCAACCATCTGCTCCCTAAACAGGTCTCTCTTGAAAATGAGTTCTCGTGGCTCAATGAGACTACCTGGACAAATAAAGGCTAAATGAAAAAAAAAAAAAAAAATCGTCTAAATTTGATCTGCAAATTATTTTAATCTGTCTTTGTGATGATGGTGATGATGGATTTTTCTGTCTGCCCCTTATATTTCGAATCTTGCACATGGAAACAAGCCGTGCAGTTCCTGAATCTGTCACGTGGTATGGCCTGCTAGCCAGGTCTCGAATGTCACTAAATGCGAATACATGCCTCCATACGTGCTCCACATAATCCTCCTGAATTACTCAACACACGTTTCGACGCCTCGACTCAGAAGGACACATCACTAGTCAAATCATTGGGATGTATCAAGCAGAGAAAACATCTAAGGAGATTGCATAAACTATTAAAATTGGGTTAAGAACTGTCCAACGCATTATTCAAAACTGGAAGGATAATGGGGACCCATCGTCTTCGAGGAAGAAATGTGGCCGGAAAAAAATCCTGAATGATCGTGATTGAGCACTTAAACGTTTGGTGAAATCAAATTGAAGAAAAGCAACAGTAGCATTCAGGACTACCACTTCCGGTAAGATGGCGCCCGTGTACATGGCTTGCAATCCACCTCTGCTGATGGTGTTCGGATTATTTGTGTTTTGTTAGTTTTTCATCTGGGACAATAACTCGCTGCTGGTGTACAGTATTACTGACAACAGCTTCTGGATCTTTGTTTTTCTGCCGCCAATGTTGCTTATTTGGATCATAATGAGCATACTGCTGGACCCCCCCCCCCCCCCCTTCCCCCCTGCTGGTGGACGTGCCTGTTTACCTCCACTACGCTCTCCACCTGCCTGCCCGGAGATATCGCTCCAGACGCCGGGGGAAAACGTGCTGGGCGGCTGGTAAAGCT